CGCCAACCCACTAACTTAAGCTTTCAATCTAATGTTCAAGTAGTTGCTCTTCACCTTCAATTTAATTATTTTACACTTCCTATTTGTGCGATGCTTGCCACCGAGCGCCAGCACACAGGATGCAACAGTCAAATAAATTTATTCGCAGGAGTTGTTGTTGCTATTGTTTATATATATACACATAAATGTAAATATGTACATCGTATAGCATGTTTAGAAGGTCTAGAAAAGGGCTCAATTGCGTTAAATTTGCGCTTTTGGCACTGGGAATGCGACGCCACGCACAAAGTTTATACACCGCAATTGTTAGTTGTTGGTTTTGTTTTTGTTTTGTATGCAATGCATGCAGCGCGGCTCAATGTATAAATTTAGAAGCTGTCCTTATGCTGGCATACATGCAATTTTCTCCATGGCGCTACGTCTTCCTGCCGCTCAGTACTAAAATGTATACATATGTATACGTCTAACACATAACGGTATGTTGGTAAACTTACACCGTCAAGCGCCGCGTTGAACTGCACTATTTTTAGGCTGCCAGCTGTGGTTTCAGTTGAGTGCCGCGGCAATGCTCTTGCCTACTTCACGGCGTTTATAATATGTATATATGTATGTATGTATGTAAATAATTGCATTGGTAAATAGCGCTGTGTGCGCACTGTTTTGCATACATTTGCATCGTTAACAGATATGAAAGTTGCATGCATAGCATGACACGTGGCATTGTTGTGGAAAGTGTTTTATTTTGCTACACGCATTCGAGATTAGATGTGTACTTAGATGCGATGTGCATATGTATTATTTACTTAGTGTATATAATACAGCGGTATTACATACCGTATGTTTGCAGCAATTTGTATGCATTAATTGTACAAAATATTTGATAAAGCTGTCATAAACTTGGGGATAATGTAAATTTTTTTGGGTGTAACTGGGTCTGCTTGACTTTGTTAATATTAAATGTATATTATTTATATGTATATTTAGTAAGTGCTATTTTTCTAGTTTCTGCTTTTCATAATTTAGATAAGTCTTCAAGAAATTTTTGGTTTATTTTTTTTAATCTTATTTTATTATTAATTAATATATACTTTTGGTTTTTTATAATTTTTTATTAATTTTTTTTTTTTATTTTTATTTTTTATTTATGGATAAATATACATATGTGCTATGATTATTACTATGTATAATAATTTTATATTTATTTATTATCACTTTATATTTATTTATTATTATTTTAATTGTTAGTATATTTATTGAATTATGTTTTTTGCTTTAACATGTTTAGAATTATATAAATATATTTTTTTTTATACTTTCTTCCTTGAATTTTTTATTTAATATTAATTTTTAATTGTCTCATTCACTTTTTACTTAAATTTATTGCTCAATGTAAAAATAAATTCCTCTAGCTTTTTAGAGACTAGACTTCTGAAATCATAAAAATATTTTAGTAAACCGAATTGTGACAGTTAGTGTATGCTTGACAACATTTTTTTTGCAACGTATTTCAAGGCCACCCCTTCCTCGACGCATTCGCTGAATCATTGCAGTTTTTTTTTATATCATTGCCGTTCGAACTAGTAAAGCTAGTTCATGTAATTTGAGTCAAAAGGAAAGACTAAGACTGGTAAATACATATGTATGTACATACACTATAACAGTGTTTGTGTAGCACGCGATCCTGCTTTTTATGCACGAACGAACTCGCATGCCTCCACCCAACTTAAGCAGACTACCGCCGGGTCGCTGAGTACGTGCCAACGGGCTGCCCGCGCACATTTCCGGTTTTATTTGTCGAGCCTCTATAGGTACGTGAGCCTACACAGTAACACAGTAAACATGGTGCTCATCTATCCGATACGTGTATGCACCCAGAATTGAGTACATGTTTGTGTATAGTTGTTGGTAAAATCGCACTGTGAAATCTGCTAACTTTTTTCAAAACAATTTACTCGCTTTTTTTTGGCTTATTCATAAACACGCGTCTCGTTGATAGTTGCAAAGCCACTGTTGCCGGTTGTTATTTTCCTTATGAAAACCATGGGTGTTTTCTTACTGTTGTCAGGCTGCTGGTATTTGTTGTTTTTTTACTTCGTTGTTTGCACAGCGCTACAATGTTTAATCAATATCGAAGAAAGCGACCGGGGGGTGCATATAGTTGAATCGTAGAAACGGTATTTGCAAAGTACATAACAGTTATATGGCTGAAGCAATCAAGCCTCATGCTTAATTGTATTATACAATGAATGTGTCGAAACTTATTTCTTGAATAACTGATCTGCTGCTACCATTGCGAGTTTTTCCTGCAGAAAGTTTTTTTTTTTATTAAAAAAGGAAATTTCAGTTGACACAGTTTTTTCTTTTCACCTGTAGGCTGTTTTGCTATTGTTACATTCCCGCTTACGGATATCATATTCGACCTATTTTTTTTTTCTTACCTCGCCTTACAATGTCGGTTATTATTTGTTCGCACTAGTTAAAGTTAATATTTGTTTATGTAGTTTTAGTTCGCTTTAGCCATCCCTTAAGACTAAGACTTGTCTGCTACAATGCATTGTTAATCGATAATTGTTGTGTTTAATAACTTTATTTATTTATCTACACTGCCAAACCTGCCAACGTGGCCTGAATTTATGTGCGTCATAAAAAGGTTGTATTATTACAATAGAACCATGACATGAAATTGAATTCGTATACAAAGTTCCGGCAAAAATGTATGCCCTGCCTTCATAAATGTTAATTTTTTTGTATTTTTTTTTTTTATTATTTTAGCTTATTTTTTTTTTCGTATGTATTGGTAATTTTTTTTAATTTTTATGTATTATTTATCTTTTATTTTTGTGTTTTATACATATTTATTTATATTTTATTTTATTATTATTATTTTTGTTTAATTTACATTTTTGTTCTAATTTTTTGTAAAAAAAAAAATTATTTAAAAATATATTTATTCATTATTAAAAAAATATATTTCATTTTGGTTATTAATTTATTTCTTATATATCATTATGGTATTTAATTTTTATGTATTTGCTTTTTTATTAATCAATAAATTTTTTTTGGGTTCAACAAGCGGTTTACTTTATATATTTTTCGCGCAGAGAGCCATGTCCGCCCGTATATACCCAAATTAGCTCCCAAAAACTGAACGAGCGGAATTGACGAGATTTCATTTGACGAGATATCTTCAAGAAATTTGGCTTACCTTATTGTCTAAGGCAATAATGCAATCTCCGGAGAAAGTTCCTAGATCCTTAATGCTGTAAAATATGCACCTGTGAAGGGTATTAGTGGTTCGGTGCAGCCGAAGTTAACGTTTTTTCGTATTTGTTTTGCCAACTGCTTGGTTACACACATAGTTACTATTTGTTTAATGATATCTAGGTCAGCGGCTGAAGTTACCGACTATTGTTTTACTTTGTTTGCTTACAAACACATGTACATTTAAGTAAATATTTTCGCTTTTAACTCACTATTGGAATGGTTTCTAGAACATTTGGCACGCAATTTTCTCACTTCATGATTAATTGCAGTGATTACATGTAAAAAATGGGGTAGACACTCACATTTATATGCAAATTAAATCACTATTGCACGATAAAACATACTCTATTATATGAAATTTATGTGTGAAAGGTTTTTACGAAACCTATTATCACCTCTATTTTCTTATTTTTAGTTTATTTGTATTTTGCAAAAACGTGATTGGTTTTAACAAATGTTTTTCATGCAAGAATAAACAAGAATATTTTTAACTGTTGACATGTAAGCAAACGTCTACAAACGTCATAACCAAACTTAAGGTGTTCATACACACTGCATTTGAATTAGTATTTTTATGAACTTGTGTTTCTCAAAGTATTGAAAGGTTTGGAATCTAAACTGTGTACACAAAGTTATTTATAATTGGTGTACATCACTTTAAATGCTCGACCATATATTCAGATCCATGAAAAATTACCTACCAACCCTCCCTCCAAATCAAGTCAATAAATCTAATTTTAGCTCATTCCACTATCGATTTCGGAATTTTCCGAAAATTTCCAATATAAACCAAGTTAAGTTCACTATTTGCTTACATCATCTTAAATTATAAACCCGTCTATAAATAATGTTTGTAGCGTAGCAAATAAAGCTAAACGCCGCTTAGTAACGTGAGCGTAATCTCTTTTTAAATGCATTAAATAATAAGTTTAAGCGCCTGCCTACTACAAGCCATTGCTATTTGTGTCTCGTGTCACTCATGCTAAGCAATTACTATACAAGCCGGCCGTTGCATCATATACTTGTAAGTACACTTATAATATGTTTACGTGAGAGCACAAAACCGTACTGACAATGACCTCTGTGTATGTGCGTGTGTGTATGAGTAAACTTTTAGCATTGCAAATTTAGTGCCGTTTTTTTAATTTTATTTACGTTAGTATTCTAAGAAATTTCCAGTTCGTGAGCACATGTTTGTACTTTCCATATTATATTTTCCATTGCATTTTTTTCGATGGACATTTATTTTTATAGACTTGTTGTGGTATCGGTCATTTGTACGCCGCTAGGTCAGTGGGCTCGATTTTCTCCCCTCGTTGTACTTGTGTTTTAATTGTTGTTGCCCGCCACGCGGTGCATGCTTTTCTTGCCTTTTTTCAATTTTACTTTTCCGCATGCACATTGAAATTGCGGGAAAAATGCAATTTTCTGCTTAAATGGCGTAGAAATGACGCTATAACTGTGATTTAAGTGCCGTGAAGGGCAATGCTTTGTTGTGTGTGAACCGCCATACAGCGGTGTTCAGACATCAGAACATTTTTATTGCTCGTGGTTTAGTTTTAGAAATGAAGTCGATATTACAAGTATGTGAATTAAAATGAAATAAAGAGTGGCAATAAGGATTAATAAAGTTTCGTTTTTTTTTAATTAAGTATTGAAATACATACATACATATTTATTTTTTCATAAGTATGCACCCAACTAATGTTCAAAAAAAATGTATTCTCTTATTGCAGGACATCGCCGCCTACATAAAGAAAGAATTCGACAAAAAATACAATCCCACATGGCATTGTATTGTGGGCCGAAATTTCGGATCGTATGTGACACATGAGACACGTCACTTTATCTACTTTTACTTAGGCCAGGTGGCAATTTTATTATTTAAGAGCGGTTAAAAAAAAATTAACAAGAACTACAACCACAAAACCAATCACAGCAACAACAAAATACCATAACAACACACATATACACATACTTGGAAAAAACAAAAGAATTTGTAGTGTAAATTCTAAATTTCAAGAAAAAAGGCGTAAAGTAAATAACAATAACAATTGGAAAAATTTGCAGTCACAATATTTCAACATAATAGTATGATGAATCGGCAACTGAGTAATGTGGCAGGCGGAAATGCATTTGAATAGAAGCAGTGCTGGCGAAATGATACTGTCAAGATACGATCCACATTGCGTTGCAGTGCATAACTGTAGTTATTAGCTGTGATTTCTTAATATGGGTAGCAGAAACCATACACCTGGTAAATATAAAAAGTGCAACCAAGTTTTTTGGTTGATAGCCAGCATTTTGACAAAGATGTGCATAAAGAGTTAGCTTCAGTATATACGCTTTAGATTGCACCCAGAATAAGCTACATATATGATACTTAAAATGCACGCTCTTGTAATGTGGAACCTAATTCAAATCAGTTCAATTGCCAAAAATGCGTAAATAGATGTGGAAGCAAATTCAAAATAGCGCAATTTATAAAAAAATCTGCAAATCACAGATGTGGAAACTAATTCAAAACCTTCGATTGCGAAAAATTTGTAAACTATTGTTGTGGAACATAAGTGGAATGCATTCTCAGTGCCCAATTTCTCACAGAACTGCGTATATTTACAATTGCCGCGCACCATAAACGCCTAAAGTAACCCACTCTATGCTAATCAACGCATTTAGAATATTTTTGAATTGTCCTAATGCCATATATGCACTTACCCCTGTCATTGCCGCATGCACCGCCGACGACGATCTACTACAAAATTTTACACTGCAAAATGTAACGTTTCATGGACTTGACAAAAGCAGCAACATCATCAACAACAACAACAACAAATTCACTTTACTACTATTATGGGCACAATACACCAACAACACAACCCACACCCGAACAGACAATTGTGGTAAGGGAAAAACTTCGCAGATTCAGTAAAATGCAGAAAATAGTAGAAAATAGCAGAACTTGAAGAAACTAAAAGTAAAAACAAATCTCAAATGGAATCATGGAAATTTAACATTTTATGCGTATTTGTATTAGTAATATCAGCAAGCAACAACAGCAAATTATATATATATAAATATATACATATATATTTGTTAGTCTAAGTAACAAGAAAAATGAAAACCGATGAATAAAAAAATAAATATTTCAAATTGCGTACACAACCACAAGCATACATACATATACACACACACAAAAGTAAAACACTTAACTGATGATATACGGAGTGGAAGTCGAAAGAAATGCTAACAACGATGCACAACATTCGAATTAGAGCAAATCTTAATGAAAATTGAAACATTGTATGCGACCAGCAAAGTTAGCGAATTATAAAAGACATAACTGAATATTTCCATCCACAATTAGCAATGGGGAAAATTGAAGCGAAACTTGAACAAGAAGGAGGAGTGACAGCTTAAGGAGTAGTGGTTGTGGCGGTGTGTGTAGCAACAGTAAAAAAACACACACACAAATAGCAAACACACTTGCAACACCTTTATGTGAACGCATATAATAGCAATAATAACAAATATATAAAACTAAAAGTTGAATGCAAACCAGCCAGGAGCGGTATATATGTATGTATGCAGCAACAGCAACAGTAGCAGCAACAACAACAGCGCATATACCATACTAGGCTAATATATTCGAATTAATGATATTTTCTTCTGTGAAACTTCTATATTTTCTTTTGTGTTAAATAAATTGTAAATGTTTTTCTTTTTGATGAAATGAACAAATAATCGTTTTAAAAGAGAGAGAAAAAAAAGTATCTATTTTAACACACTTCTTACATTACATTAGTAATTTAGTAGACGCCATTTTACAATTTATTGAACAAGTGGATGTGTGAGGGTATTTTTTTGAATTTTTTCCTAAATTGGAAATTGATGAAAGATATGTGTTCAAATAATAAATATAAATTTTATTTAAAAAAAAATTAATTTCTTTGTGTTGCATTGATTTATTTAAGAAGTAGCTGAGTATATTAGCATCTT